GGAGGGAGGGTGGGAAGAGCAGGCATTGGGGGAAGGGGGGGATGGAGGGAGCGGGGGCGGGGCCTCGGAGGAGGGGCAAGGCGGGGCCAGGGCAAAGGGGGTTGGTTTTGGGGGAGTAGAAGGAGGACGTCCAGCTCCTCGGGGGATTAGGGCAAAGGTGAGAATCCGGGCAACAGGCCGTCCCGCGTCTATCTGTGAACCGCATCCGGTGGCTTGGCTTTGCTTTCAGAGCAAACATTGGCTGCAGGGTGGATACAAATCAATGGGCTCTTAAAAATGGCTTTTAAAATCAAACTTTTTAAAAAATGTTAATTGGATTTTCTTGGTAAAATGCTTTTTGAGGAAAAAAACTATGTAAAGACAGTTTTAATTAAGATACATCATAGCTCAAGGATGGCTCCTCATGGCCTAGAGATTATACAGTCTAGTTCCTGCCATGTGTTTAGGAAAAGTCTTGAGTGAGTTCCAATCAGTCATCGATTAGGGACCCACATTCAGGGGGTTCCAGAGGCTTCAATATGGATGATTTAGGTTAATCTTTTATCTACCCACTTGGACGTGGTGCTCAGAGTAGAAGATACCATCAGAGACGCTTTTGCAGTTCTCAGCCTGTGTATTTGTGTCTCCAGAGATAGCATGCTTGCTTACAGCAGAAATGTTTTTAAATAAATAAATATATAGAGACACAGAGGGAGAATCCTAGAATACTAGGACTGGAAGGGCCCTCGAGAGGTCGAGTCCAGTCCCCTGCCCTCACGGCAGGACTCGGTACCGTCTAGACCATCCCTGACAGGTGTCTGTCTAACCTGCTCTTGAATATCTCCACAGATGGGGATTCCACAACCTCCCCGGGCAATTTATTCCAATGTTTGACCACCCTGACAGGCAGGAAGTTTTTCCTAATGTCCAACCTAAACCTCCCTGGCTGCAGTTTAAGCCCCTTGCTTCTTGTCCTGTCCTCAGAAGCCAAGAAGAACCATTTTTCTCCCTCTTCCTTGTGACACCCTTTTAGATACTTTAGAAATAACAGACTTCAACCCGATTGGCGTTCTGAACATGTGTGGACACAGAGTCAATCCCTAACCTCTCTCTAAAAGTACAAAGGCTCTAAAAGTTCAATAAGCAGAAGCCAATATTTCAAGTCCCTCAGGTGGACCTGGCTCACAATCAATTTAATTTTTGTTTAAAAAATGTTTCATGTAACTATTTTAGTTAAAAACAATTTAAACAAAAACAAACTTGATTTTTAAAAACTTGAAAGTGTAACTACATTCAAAAGTCCATCTGCTTGTTTTGTTAAAATATTATATGTTTGCTGTTAAAGAAAAAATGCAGAAGACATAACGTTGTTTCTTTAGTTAACTAAAACAAGGTAAATGTCTGTCTGGTGATGTTGTCCTTCTAATACGTCATGGAACAAAATGCTCCAAATATTAATGATTGATCTGTTGAATTGGAGAGCGCTCGCCTCCCAGTGGCTTCAGAAATACCTCTGGTAAATGAAATAACCAATCCATCGTTCATTTTCTGATCTAGCAGTAGAGCTAATCTGAAACGTTGCCAAAATAAATCCCTCTTGGAAAATGTCGAGTATGTAAACCCGTAAAAAGGAACCCGCCATTGATCTTCGAATTGTGACGCTGGCGTACGAAGGTTATGGCAACCGACAAGGCTGCACTTCTATGTGGAAAACCACGATTACATGGAATCTTCCTGACTAGTGATTTAAATCAAATCCAGCCTGGTTTGCTGCCCGTGGAAGTCGGAAACGCCACAAAGAGCAGCATGTGAAGCAGTTACTCAGCATCATCTCTGGATTCGGTTTGGCACCGAGCCATGCACCTGGCTCTGGGCTGTAGCTAGGGCTCATAGGAGCCACCGTCCTCCAGGTAACTGGTTCCTGGCCTGGCCAGAGTTTAACTGGTTACCTGTGAGCATCACCCGGTCAGGGGGATACCAGTTACCCACTGGCATCGCTAATTGGAGGGCAATCGTGTCCCTCGGGCCTAGAAGTGTCCCCGTGAACCTGGCGAGGCCTAAAACGGCCTCCCTGGCAGGCAGCGGGAGCTGGTTCGATTGGCGCAGCGAGAGGTTCCTGGGCGACACAGACGGCCCTGATCCCAGCTAAGGGCATGCAGGGGAAGGACCAATCACGTTCGGCTGCTCGTTGTGCCAAGAGGTTTGTACGTGAGCGATTTTCTGCCTGCGACACTCTGAGCCAAAGCCCGTTCAAGTGGCTGCGAGTCCTTGGGCTGGCGCCAGGTCGGGCCTGCACACTACGTGGGTGGGAGGAGCACGTTCGCTTCAGCCACCAGTGAGGAGAAGGGGGCGTCCTGGCGTTTGATCGGCGGCAGGGGGTCGCCCTGCCCAGCCCAGCGAATGTCAGCCAGGGGGTACCGCATGGAGCTGGCACGTCCACTGCTTACCAACTTCCCCATTCTACAGGTGGGGAAACCTAGGCACGGGGCCAGTATGGGATTCACCCGGCAGGCCAGGGCTGTGATGCCTATGGCTTGCTCCCATGACTCCCTAGCAGAGCGCTCTGGCCGAGACACGCACATGGCAAGGGGAAGGGATTGGAGTCATGCCACTTACAATTACGCCTCCTCCCCACACGCCTGGCACTTGCATGGCCCGCTTGGAGATGTGGCCCTCCTCCAGGTAGCGCCCCGTCCCGCTGGGGAAGAGCAGCAGCACGCTGGCAGCGATGGACAGCACTCCCAAGGCAACGAGGCAGGGGCCCAGAATCCGAGTGCACTTCCCAACACACATGGTCGGCAAGCCGGGAGCCTGCATGGGGAGGGGAAAGGAAGGATGGCATTTCCCACCTCGGGCGGCACCAGGGAGCTGCAGCTTCTGCTGAGGCCAGGGGGCTGCACGGTGCCACCCTCTGCCCCAGGAGCTCCTAGGGTTGCCAGATACTTTCACAAAAAATCCCGGACATAGCAGGGGGGGATGGAGGGGAGGAATTGCTTGAGTGAAAAAAGGTCACTGCACCTTTAAATCTCCCCGCTCCCCCCGCCAGACATGGCAGGGAGACAGAAGAACCAGACACCTGGCAACCCTGGGACCTGCCTCTTCGCGCCGTCCTACCTGCCCTCTCACTGGGCCTGGGACATCGCTGTGACATGGCAGAGCAGCGGCGCTAACGGCGCATTTCTGCTGCTGCCAGGCACAAGGGACACGCGTGGCCTCCATAGCCAGGTCTCTGAAGGAAGACGAGCGCCCACAGGGCCCGGCCCAAGTGACCTGCTGTTAGATTCCAGGAGAGGGCACAATCCATCCATCCACCGGCTCTGACCTGCCGCCCCAAACGTGTCTCCCCCTGGACACACGATCCAGAACTCACCTCAGCAACCCGCCCGGCGAGGAGAGGGCGACCACAGGGGCATCTAGTCAACCCCCGGCCGACTCTGCCCGAGAACAGCCAGAAGCCAGCCCGCCCGGACGGTTACTGACCCGCGCCTTGCTCTCCCCGCCCGGGCACGCGGCCGCCAGAGCGCTCGCAGCAGCCCCGTGTCACCGAGGGGGACGCAGGCGGAGACCGGTGCGGTGGCACCAGGGGCCAGTGGAAGCCAGGAGAAATACCTCGCGCCCCAGGGCCTCAGCTCCTCTTCTCAGCGCTGGGGTGAAGGGGCTTCCATTCCAGCGAGCGAAGGAAGTGGCCCGGCGGCTCTGGGAATGGCTGGAGGCGCTTTCCTGTCGCTCTGGGGGATTCCTGGGCTCCCGTGGCCGGGACGTTGTGCCAGCCACGAGGGCAGCAGAGCAAGTCTGTGTCTCCAGCAGGCGTAACTGCGCAGGCCTCGGCACACCCGTCCACTGCAC